TGAAGACATTTATTCTAAAAACTTTTTAAAACAGGAAGCTATTGATAGAACCTAGGTGCTGTTGACTACTCCCAGTCTGCACACTCACAGGAGACAACCCCAGGCGCCAGTGCTAGTTCACTGAACAGTGTGGGGCCAGGTGGCAGAAGACTCACCTGCACCTCATTTGTGACTATTATTAAGAGTTTTCCATTGTGAGTTTACCTGGAACCGATTTTTGACTCATAGGGATCCCATATGACAGAGTAGAACAGCCTCACAGGATTTTCTAGTCTGTAATCTTTATGGGAGTGAATTGCCAGGTCTTTCTCCCACTGAGCCTCTAGGTTAGTTCGAACTGCCAACCTTTTGGTTAGCGGCCCAGTGCTTAACTATTGTGCCACCAAGGCTCCTTAAGAGTTCCCTATCAGAGCAAAATTCCGAGAGTCAGAACTCCAATCACAAAGTGAAGTGACTGTAGAGCATTACTCTTTCTCTCTTTTCACTTTAAAATCTTGCCTCTACATGAATAGTTCTGTTCCTATAGAGATTAGAGCCTAGGAAATCCTATGGGGAAGTTCTACTCTGTCATACAGAGTCCCCGTGAGTCAGAATCAATCCAATAGCAACACAACAACAAATGAATAGAAAAGTCCCTAATGGTTACATATGTTTCAACAAGTGATTTTCTAATTTAAATTCTAATGGCCTCATCTCCCCATTTCTTGCTTGAATTACAAGTTTCCAGTGGTCCACCATTTTGTTCTGCAATTCTGTCAGTAAATACATGAACTCATTTTTGCTTCAGGTTGCTGGGTAAAAAATGAATTATGATCTGTGCCTATTTCTCTCCTTTGAGCAAGGAAAAGGAAGGTTAACTTTTGCTAGGACAAGTAAGTGCCATGACGGCGCCCTCCACAAAGACGTTCTGCATATAAGTGATGCTATATTTGTTTTAAAACATGGTCAGAACTACACTTATAATTCCATTTTTCTTATCTACTCACTGCTTTAGCCATCCCTCACATGGCCACACATGAACTTTTGTCATCCCACCCCTAAGTGTTTGTTTTCTGAGATAGGAAATTTAGAGTCTACCCTCTAGCCACACAACCTTTTACCCTTCCAGCTCTCTCACTCTTTCACTCCCCTTACACTTATTTTTCAACCCCACAAGGAGTCTAGATACTAACCCAACTATTTCTTTTGCCTCCACTTCTATCCCTATCTACCTGATAGTCAATGGCTTATCTTCAACCACACTTACCTCTCTTGTCTCATATTCATCCAATGGACAAAATCCCAATTCCCATGAATCCAACTTTTCCACTAACATTTCAGACTGATGAGACGTCCTGAACAAAACTTTAATGGTTATTAGCTCAGTTGCAGAGAGCATCCACTGCAGGGGAATGCTTTCAACAATCAGGTGGACAGGATGATTTATCTTATTGTTGTCAAGCCTGCCTCTCTGTTCTGCCACTCCACTCTCACTCAATATATCCATGAATAGTGTAGGTATGGTTGAAAAGATAGAAACTCTGCTTGTACCAAAGCTGATCTAGCTACTGCCACTGCTGAATATCTGACCTGCTGGGTGCAGAGAATAATGCTGAGCTCTTATTATGATTCATCTCTCAAGGGGAGAGGCAGACACTTGGAACTCTTCTCAAGGGGAGAGGGCAGGAATTCATCTTTCCTGGAATTGACACCTATTTCTGCTATTTGTTTGCCTTCTCTGCCTGCATGGCCTATGTCAGCAGCACCATCAGAGGTTTTACAATATGCCTGCTATATCAGCATGGGCTCTCTCCTAATATCACTTCTGAACACAGGATCTATTTTATGGCAAAGAAATCTAATGATATGGGCCATGAATAAGAGCTCCATTGATATTATCACATACCATATCATCTGGAAACAGTAAGGTGCTATTTTAGGCATGATACTTTGGAAAGCTGGAGTTCTGCGCTGTATATATCCAATGAATTCTATGCACCCAATCCACTTAATCTAATGGGTGATATACGGTGTTATTGTCCCCAGTAGCTACAATACACAGGTTGGGGAAAAAAAGTTTGAAATATGATTGACCTTTCTCACAATTACTCCCAATGAATCATATGAGGAATATGTGCTTCCTTTACCTGATACCTTAGGCTCTGCTGGTTCCCATGGGGTGCGGGGGGATACTTCCACTGGGTGACACAGTAATGTTTCTACTGAAACTGAAGCTCCAGTTGCCACCTAATCTTTCAGGGCTCCTCATGCTGGTAGACCATTGAAGAAGGGAGTTACTACTTTCACAGAGGAAATGGACTGAGATTACCCTAAGGAGATAAAGTTGCTGTTACACAATGGAGAGAGGAATGATTTATTCACTGGAGCATCTCCTTGTACTTTGCTGTCTGGTGATAATTTGACAAAAGCAAGACAACTAAGGACTCACATCCCTGAGGGATATAGTCTCACCAGGAAAGCAGTCTAGACCAGTTTGAGGTTGCCCCAGGGTGAGGGAAATCTAGGAAGGGAGGTGGAGTGAGATGATGAATATTCATGATGGCTTCAGAGCCTGTTGCAGCAATGTTGTTGTTGTTGTTGTTATGTGCCGTCGAGTCAGCCCTGACTCATAGCGACCCCTCCTTGGGTTTCCGAGGCAGTATCACTACGGAAGTAGGATTGCCCAACCTTCCTTCCGAGGAGTGGCTGGTGGGTTTGAACCGCCAGCCTTCTGGTTAGCAGTCAAGTGCCTTAGCCACTATGCTACCAGAGCTCCCGTTGCAGCAATAGAGGCTGTATTTTCTTGTATTATCTTTGTGTTCTAGGTATTTAGTAGAGATTGGGGCCTGGCACTTTGAAGACTTGGTGATGATTTGCCTTAACATGGAGGATGAGCAGATCTGAGGGGTACAAGGAGTGGAGGGTATTAGATGCCTGTGGTGCCCCCATGTCACATTCCTTTAGTCCAAGCCCAATTTCAGCTGCAGTGAACAATTCTGTGCAAACTCACACTCACCTCATGCTGACTATCCTAGAAATTCTCTATCACTGTGAGAACTTGCTCAGTCCACCCAGAGAGAAAGCTTGGAAGTGCAGGGTTAGTGATCCCAAGGGTAATCATCATGATCCCAGGGGTAATCATCATTCAGTCGAAAACAAGAGCTAGTTGATAAATGTTCCTACCTCCTGTCCTTAGGTGGACAATTCTGGACTTCTACCTATCCACACAACCCTAATATTGGCTTCTTCTCTTCCTGCTCCCTCACTTCTGCTGCCTGGAGTCACCTTCCAAATAAATTATCCTAAAGGAACATACGCCCTTTCTTCAGGTTCTACTTTTAGAAAAACCCAGGTTAAAACATGAGAATGTGTAATTTAACCATGTAAGTATAAGCATAAATATGACTTCCCAGCTAGGAAAGGGAAGGGAAACGTTGAACCTCTAAGAAAAAGTTTCAGTATTTTCTCTTACCCTTCATTATTTCAAAGGTTAACAGATCTCCTGCATTCTTTTGCAAAATACATAAACTTGTCAGCTAACAATCATTCTTACTGTGTAAAAATAAGGAGATAAACAACCAAGGTCAAGTTCCTATTTTTTATTTTCTCTTTGGTGAGCTCCACTAGCCTGGAGTGCAGGCATATTTAGCTGAAGTGGGTATTATATGCAAATACAGTGCTTCACTGTGGGCCTCAGCTGTTTGGCAGGACTCTCAGTGCTTAAGAACACACCTGCTATATTTAGCAGAACCTGCCAGGTTGTGGTCTGCAGTTCTTGGGGCTGCTGTGGACAATTTATAAAGTGCTTTCTTCAGACTCTTGTGTCGGCAGACCCCTGAGCCTGCTTAGCTAAGCTACAAGCTGCTAGCTAAGCTTCAAGTCGTTGTTACAATAGTCTGGAAGAGTTAATGCACCTCAAAGTATTTAATTTTCTCCTAGGGAGTTATCTGTTTTTTGGTAGGAAATAGATGACTAAGAAATTATTATCAATCCCATGTGGTAATTTAGTACAGGGGAGCAAGACAACAATGTGCCCTACGAAGCTTACTTATTGTGACATAGAGGAGGCAGCAGAATTTAATCAAATTCTACAGGATGAATAATGCCATCACTGTTCACTCTGTTATTAGTGTCATATGTTTTCCTTGAACATGTTAGGATTTCTCTTTTATATTTCATGCTAAATATTTCACAATCTTAAAGTCCTTAGTAATAGATTCAAATGTAGTTTTTGCCTTGACTTATCATTATATTTGTGTTTCTAGGCATCAGCAAAGTATTATCTCTTTAAAACTATAATTGCAAAAACCTTGAGACAAGAGTTCTTTCATCTTCATTAAAATGCAAATTAATGCATCAATCAACATCCACTTATTGAATATGTCCTATAGAGAGGTGCTGTCATTGCTGTAGTGGAATTCAGAAATGAGTGTAGGATAGGGTCCCTGTTCCCATAGATTTAGAAAAGTTTACTTACACATTTAGCATTAGAGTAAGATAACATTAATAGAACTTAAGAATTCCAAGTGTCGGTTAAGAATCATATTAAGAAAAATAGAAATTTTCCAGAAATCATTATTTTTTTTTTAGCATCTAAGACAGTTTTTTTCAGAATAGAAATTTAAGTATGCTGCTTTCACAGTGAATTCATGCACATAGAATTTGATTCAAATATTACTTTTATTTAAAGTTTTAATCCAGGTATGCATGAAAACTAAATTCTAATTTCTTAAGAAATGTCTTTTTTTGTTGGCTTGTCTTTTGGTCATTTAAACATTTTCCCATAAACCAAGTCCTCAGGTCTCTGTAGCAGTGAGGATAATGTCAGATTTTTGGTCTACTCTTAAGATACCAAGCATATGCACTATTAGGACAATTTTTTTAACTAAATCCTAAGACACAGTTAAACAGCATGCTTCAGTGGAGCTTAGGTCTGGGTGCACAGTGGTCAGTTAGTGGACAGTGGCTGATGGGTGGCAGTTACTCCTGGAGGCCCTGGCTCTCCTGAGGCCGAGCAAGCATCATTTTCTTTGTTTATATTCAATCCGGCATTGTCCTTCTGGTTGCTGGACACCGACCAAATGGAGAAAACTCTAAAAGCAAAGATAGAGAAGAAATATAGAAATTAAAGAGACAGGACCCAACCAACATTTTCCAGCCTAAGATTTATTCAATTACAGTTTTCGCTGTAAGGTACAAAGTTTAGGTTTGGAAGGATGAGAGATGTTTGTATCTTTAAGTTTCACAATGTCAAGAGTCAACTTTAGATTTCCATTCCAGGAACAGGAAAGGAAGAAAAGCCCTTGCCATAATAGCAGGCTCTTCACAGTTCCACAGACCCCAAAGCTACTGGTCTGACAGGCCCAGTAGCTCGGGCTAAAGAGGACACCACAAATGAGGTTCTTTCTACATTCTGGCTCAAAACCAGTGACTTCATTTTTAATCACTAGGTGAAATCAGTATTCCACATGCTTTAAGTGTTTAAGAAACAACACGGTATTGGTAGTGTGAACCACTATTTACAGAGTATTAGACCCACCAGCCACTCCTTGGAAGGAAGATTGGACAATCTACTTCTGTAGAGATACCACCTTGGAAACCCACGAAGGGGTCACTATGAGTCAGGATTGACTTGACATCAGTAAGTTTGGTTTGGTTTTAGACTACGATCACAATTTTCTAAAAGGATATCTTGTGAGTGCTAAATATTCTTTTGATTTCTTTCTTCCCAGTTACAAACAAGGAACCCTGGTGCACAACATTTAAGCCCTTGGTTGCTAATTGGAAAAGAAAGGCCAGCAGTTTGAACCCATCAGCTTTTCCAGAGAAAAGACTTGGCAATCTGTTCCCATAAAGATTACAGCTTAGGAAACTCTATAGGGAATTCTACTCTGTCCTACAGGGTCACTATGAGATGGAGTGGACTTGGTGACACATAACATGAATAGTTACAAACAAGGTGTGAAGGTATATGGGAGGGAGGTAGAAGCAGAGAAGAAAGTCAGTTTTTTTGCAAATAATACAAAGAAATAGTTGAGGCTTGGTGGTGATGGTGGTGGTGGTAATGTATGCTGTCAAGTCCATTCTGATTCAGCCACCCTATAGGATAGAGTAGAACTGCCCCATAGGGTTTCCAAGGCCGTAAATCTTTACAGAAGTAGACTGCTAAGTCTTTCTCCCATGAACCAGTTGGTGGGTTAGAACTGACCACCTTTCAGTTAACAGCCAAGTGTTTTAACCACTGCACAACCAAGGCTCCTTTTGTTGAGGCTTGTTGTTGTTGTTGTTGTTATGTGCCATCGAGTCGGCCCCGACTCATAGCGACCCCTCCTTGGGTTTCCGAGGCAGTATCACTACGGAAGTAGGATTGCCCAACCTTCCTTCCGAGGAGTGGCTGGTGGGTTTGAACCACCAGCCTTCTGGTTAGCAGTCAAGCGCCTTAGGCACTATGCTACCAGAGCTCCCTAGGAGCTTAAAAAAAAAAAGCAACTTAAGGACTTTGTCCTGTCAGCCTCAGGGAGTTGGGAGGAGATGAGTAGTGAGGAAAGATGAAGTACAACCAATTTAGGTAAATCAGAATGGGCTCAATAGAAAGGGGATTGTTTGGGGAGTTAATAGAATAAGTTGCAAGGTTTCCTTGAACCCCTGCAATTGAATCCACAATTTCGTGAGTATGGACAGACATGTACTTTTCTAGAAAAGAGATCTATAGGTTTTTGTGAGTTTTTCTCAGAGTCCATGATCTCCCCCAAAAGGTAAAGCAAAACAAAAGCAAACAAACATGAAATCCCTACTATGTTAGCAAAAAAGTGCTTGCTTTTGCAAGTGAATTGAAGTGGTCTCCTACAAATGCTCATGAGGGAACAGCCCCATTGCCAACATCAGAGCCTTGCTCTTCAATCATGGCTCCTCAAAAGCTTTGCAGTGTCTCATCATTGCTTTGTTTTGTTCAATTCTTAATGGAAGAGACTCGAAATTAAATTAAACTAAGAAATTCTGGAAATTTCTGAAGATACTTTGAAATGAAATGAAACACTGGACTGTTGAAAAATTAAATTTTAAAATTCTAGCATTTGATTTTTGTACTGTGGAAGGTAAATTCCCTTGGGGAAGTTTGTTTCGAAGTTTAACTTCAGGGAACTAAGGAATGACTTGCACTTCCTTGACAGCATTGTCCAGAAAATGCCCTGACAATACATCCCCTCCTGTCTAGTACTAGAGCTTGGACATTTGGGGGTTATTTCCTGCATTTTTTGATCACCTCATTTTACAATTTATTACAGCTAATCCAATAAATTAAATAATTTCAACTCAACTTTCTATTTCTAAAAAAAAACCATTGTGAAATGTAATACTGGATCATGAGAATTCATCTAGATTTTGTACTTTTTACAAACAGAGAACAGTTTTAAAAACTGTTCATAGACTGTCAAAACAGAGATAGCATGTATGTAAAACAAGATAATACATTAAATGCAGCTAATAGAATTATTGTATGAATCTAGGAAAATTGGAAGTTGTCAAAAATGAAATGGAATGCATAAAGGTCAGTATTTTAGGCAACAGTGAACTGAAATGGATCGGTATTGGCCATTTTGGTCAATGGGCAGTTGTTCAAAAAGAACAACAGAATATTATGTAATTTAAAATCAGGAAAGGTATAACGTTGTATCCCTTCACCATATTTATTCGATTTATATGCTGAACAAATAATATGAGAAGGTAGACTATATGATGAAGAATGAGGCATCAGGATTGGAGGAAGACTCATTAAGAACCTGTAATATGCAGATGATACAATCTTGCTTGATTAAAGCAAAGAGTACTATAAGCATTTACTGAGGAAGATCAAAGATTACAGCTCTCAGTATGGATTACACCTCAACATAAAGAAAACAAAACTCTTCACAACTGGACCAATAAGCAACATCATGATAAACGGAAAAGATTGAAGTTGTCAAGGATTTCATTTTACTGAGAACCACATTAATGCCCACGGAAGCAGCAGTTGAGAAATCAAATTTGCATTGCGCAAATCTGCTGCAAAAGACTTCTTTAAAGTGTTAAAAAGCAAAGATGTTACTTTAAGGATTAAGGTGAGTCTGACCCACCTTAGTCATGGTATTTTCAATTGCATCATATGCATGTGAAAGCTAGACAGTGAATAAGAAGATCAAAGATGAATTGATGCCTTTGTCTTATAGTACTGACTGCCAGAAGAATAAGCAAGTTTGATTTGGAAGAAGTACAGCCAGAAAGCTCCTTAAAAGCAATGATGGTGAGACTTCATCTGATGTAGTTTGGATAAGTCATCTAGAGTCCCTGGAGAAGGACATCATGCTTGCTACAGTAGAAGGTCAGCAAAAAGGAAGAAGACCCTCAACAAGATTGATTGACACAGTAGCTGCAACAGTGGGCTCAAGTATGGCAACACTTGTGAGGATGGTGCAGGCCAGTGTTTCAGTCTGTTGTACATAAGTTCACTATGAGTCAGAACTGTCTCAACGACACCTAACAACAGAATTTTTAGCTAGAAAGAAACTGTTGGGATAAATCTTCCCTAGAGAACTGGTCAAAATTACTGGTTTCCAAGGTTAAGTTTCACATAGTGTTCATAATGTCATCCTTTCTATCTGAAAAGGCATTCCTGTACCTGCTTGTTGGTGGAACAATATTTCTATGCTGGGCCAGTCCCAGGACAAGTTGTGTCATCTAACTCAGGAGAGCAGGAATCAGTATATGGTATCTGTGTCTGTAAAGACTGCCCTAACCTTCATTTTGTCAACAAAACTACCCAGCTGAGAACCTTTGCGAAAAGTGCTTTGATTTATATTTTATTGTAGAATTTTGAGAGCTCTTCATCACTGATAATTACTTATGCTCAAAATATAAGTGCACAAGACATCCAAGGAAAGTGCTGAGATGTGGATCTTTATATTTTCTGTTTCATTATGCTCATATATGCTTTCTATTGAAATGTCACCCAAAAGTTTTATTTATCCCTTTGCACATTATCTTAACTACATCAAGAGAAAATCAAAGCACAAAATGCTATGCGAGCAACCCTGACTTCTCAGTGATTAAGTGCAGAGCTTCAGCCTCAGTTTAAATAGTAGCTTTTATCCAAAGTTTTCAAAATGGCTACAACAATGGAATTAAACTGACCTTTCCTAAATTTCTAGGAGCCCTGGTGGTGCTGTGGTTAAAGTGCTCCACTGCTAACCAAAAAGTCAGCAGTTTGAACCTCCAAACACTTAACCATGACACCACCATGCTCCTCTGGCCTTTTGATAGTGAGGCACATAGATTAGATCTTTGCATAAAGGAAACAAAATCTCTTCTCAGTCTGGTTCAATCTAAGCCACTTGCTAAGACCAGGCCTAAGTGAGGACCAGTCAGCTCATCTCTAGTAAATTAAGCCATCATGATATTTAAAATTCTGAAAACACTTACCTGTTTTGGTAATGAGTCCAGAAGAGTACAGTCATATTTATAAAGAGTTAAAATAACACAGATTTGAATCTCTAAGAGAGCAAACCACCTGAAGTAAAAATATAAAAGAGTTACTTGGTCGCAAAAGTATCTACTCACAGAGAATATCTAGAAACTGCAAATATTTCACAGCAATTATGTTTTTCTTTGCAATATAAATTTTTACTATGAAAAGGTAAAGGAACTTACT